TTTAAAGGGTAAAAAGGAATAAGAAACTAAGGTATGTAAATCCACATACATTTTTCAACTACATTTTCTTAGCTGGCTACTAGACCGGTCTTAGCTAGGAATTCTCCTAGTGGAATAGGCAACTCTTGAGTGCTCAACTCTTCTGGAAATTCCAACAACTATGTGGGCAAACAATACAATTTGCACTCACAGTACTAATTTGTTGTAAGCTTTTATGCTTCTGCATGCAGTAGTATTAGAATCCATCAGTTGTACTTCTTGTTTGATATGTAGCATTGGAACCGTGACATTCAAAGTAATGTACATAAAACAGACATTTTGGAAAGTTTTTGACCTTAGAAATACGGATATCTAAAAGAGGCTTATGAAGAAGAGTATCACATCTTTTCAAAACAAGTAACTTAGCAAACCTATAATTCATCCTCTGTATAGTAACATATCATGAATTACAAATTTAAACTCTCATTTTCTCTAGAACACTGGTTTAACTATTTCTCCATTTATGATTTAAAGCTTTGTGTCTGTATATAACCCAGGTCAGAATCACAGAAGTGGCATTTGTCCCAGCGATTCCTCCCAATCAGTCCAAAACCATCTGGTTTTGCTGCATGTTTCTTTGCACCCAGGAGCACTGATTCTGACAGCAATGTATTTCTAATGCTGACGTGCGAAGAACTAATCCAGCCATTTGGATGCATACTTCGCTATCTAGGTGTCACTGCTATACATCACACTGGCTGAGATACCAAAGAACAACAACAACAACAAATACAAATGCATCATGACAAAATGTTATATTTATGGTTTGTGTACATGCATAAGTCAGCTGCACAAGCATTTCTGGCCTCCACTCAGAATTCATTTATATGGATTGAACCAGCTTCCGATCATTCTAACAGAAAGGCCTAGGGATACAGAGCCTCCCTACCAGAAACATAAGAGAGACAATCCAGAAGCAGACTTGTACTCAACCTACAAGAATATTTACATGGACAAACAAAACCGTGGCTTTTAAATTCATGAAGCTTTCTTTTTTATTCATATTCTTCTTTTTATTATGTATAAGAAATCTTTAATAAGATTTTCTCTGATATTCCTAAACAATGGCATATCAAACACTTCTGGCTCAAGAGATCCTTCCTTTCATGAAGTTTCTGAGCTGCAAATTGTTGGATGTAAAGAGGCAGACTTGTACTCAACCTACAAGAATATTTACATGGACAAACAAAACCGTGGCTTTTAAATTCGAGAAGCTTTCTTTTTTATTCATATTCTTCTTTTTATTATGTATAAGAAATCTTTAATAAGATTCTCTGATATTCCTAAACAATGGCATATCAAACACTTCTGGCTCAAGAGATCTCCTTTCATGTGAAGTTTCTGAGCTGCAAATTGTTGGATGTAAAGCGAGAAAT